AAACCTGTCGTCAACAGTTTCTTTGGTGGTATCGCCGGGAAAATCTTCGTATTCACGATTTTGCGGATCGATGAGAAGAATGTCATCAACTTGTTTTCCAAGTTCCCCGTCTCCAGTGGTGTGTTCTTCTTGTAAAGGTGGCTCTTCTCCAGCGATTATGCGTCCACGGGGTGTAACTTTGATAACAACTAACCAATTTATCCCTGAGGTTGTTATTCGAGGGTATGGAACGTAGCAAACTTGGTCTGCTTGCGAAGCTAATATATAAGGCTCGAATTTGTTGTATCTACATCCAGCATTGACATCAACTACACCAAATTGGTAACCCGAACACCTCTGTTGATGACGGGTCAAACCACTCATGCTTGAAGAGGACGCATTTCAGCTTCAATAATCTTGGGAATTCAACTTCAATAATCTCCTGCAAGATCCCGTAGAAATTTGTTTCGCCTTTTACACATATTTCATAATTATTTGTCGCCCGGTGTCTACCATACTCATATGTATGAAAAAGTATAGCCTTGTGTGAAATACATCGGTGATGTGGTGATCTTTGCAACTTGACCTTGGACTAATTCGTGATACCATACGAGGTAATATGGATCATCATAATTAACCTGTAAATAAAAAGAACTTTGGAATTAGTCATACTAGCAGTGAACGTTGAAAAATAAAGAAAATGTTATATTACATGTTTCCTCAACCACTTAATAAAGTGTTGATCTTTCCTTTTGACTAACTTACTTGTGGATATACCCGGGATTGCTTCTTCGACTTGAGAAACAAATTAGCTGTAAAATTTTATATTAATTAATGAATTATATATATATATATATATAAGTAAACTTATATATGTTAAATACCTTTCAAAATAGCGAATCAATGCATGCTCAAAATTGAGAAGAATATAAATGTGTGCACTATGGAGGTCTTCATCACTCGACCACCAAACCTCTTTCAATTTCCCACAAAATCGTCTAGTTTGGCAAAAGATATCTGGAACATATTTTTCCAAATATGTTGGTACAACACCACCATCATCATATCTTCTTGGAGCTCGTTTTCGGGTAGGTACTTTCGGTGCAAAGTAGTATGATGTGAAGTGTGATGTTTTTTTCGTCAAACTTCCAGCAACTATAGATCCTTCAACTCTTGCGAGGTTTTTTAGTTTTTCCTTTCAAAATTTTCATCGCCCGCTCATACTGATACATCCATCTGTAATGTACAAGTCCTCGAAGCAATGCCTCATATAGGAGGTAGAAAACTAGATGCTCCATGAGGTCAAAAAATGCTGGAGGAAATATTTTCTCCAAGTTGCACAGTAATATGGGAATGTTCTCATGAAGTTGTTGAACGTCATCCTCTTTAAGAGTGTGTATGCTCAGATCTCTGAAAAAATGCTCCAATTCCTTATCTATTTCAAAAATAAAAGGACATTAGTAGTCGTATTATTTTGAATATGTTATATATATATATTACCTTCAAGTGCTTCATGTACTTTTGTTGGCAGTAGCTCTGTAAATGCAAAGAGAAGTAGTCGTTGTATAAAGACATGACAATCATGACTCGTCATCCCGAAGAACTTTTGACCTTTTTCAACACATCTAGAAAGATTTGAAACATACCCATCAGGGAACTTCACTTCTGATGCCACCTAGTTAAACAACACCTACTTTTGTTCTGATGACAATCTGAATATCGGAACTGGAACTTGTCCATTACTTTTTATATGTAACTCACTTCGTGCAAAAATATCAGGCAAGTCGAACCTCAATTTGATATTGTCTTTCGTCTTCCCTGGGACATTCAATACTGTGTTCAGGATGTTCTCAAAAATATTCTTCTCTATATGCATCACATCGAGGTTGTGACGCAAAAGAAGATCCTTTCAGTATGGAAATCCGAAAATATACTCTTCTTGTGCCAGTTGTGCTGAACACCATAAAAATCAGGCATATTACTGGGAACATGACAATTACCACCACGAGGAACGGTTTCTAGAGCACAGTAGTAATCGATTTGAGATTCAATTTGTTCTCCAGTTAAATATGGAGGAGGAGTGTCTCTCACAACTCTTGTGTGCCTGAACAATGTCTTGTTTCTTCTGTACGGATGGTGAATGGGAAGAAATCGACGATGACAATTGAACCAACTTGTCTTCCTACCATTCTTCAACTGGAACACATCTGTCATTCCATTACAATATGGACAAGATAATCTCTCATGTGTAGTCCATCTAGAAAACATCCATATGCAGGAAATTCACTTAAGGTTCACAGTGGCATCGCTCGCATCATAAAATTTGTTTTAGTTGAACAAACCATACGTCCTCACCCCTATTGACCACAAATCTTTCAACTATTTTACCAGAGATTGTAGAAAAACATCGAGAGATATTTTTGGATGCTTCGGATTATGTATTAATATGGTCATGAATAGAAACTCCCGTTACATGCACATCTCTGGTGACAGGTTGTATTGCGTAAGAAAGATTGGTCACAATGAATATTGTCTCCCTGACATTCCAAATGGACTAAATCCATCTGTATATAATCCAAGATACACATTCTGGCCATTGCTAGCGAAATCTGGATGCACTTTGTTAAAATGTTTCTAAGCTCTTGCATCTGATGGATGAGTCATTTCACCCTCCGTCTGAGTATGCTCGGCATGCCATCTCATCCCTCCAGCAGTCTTTCAGATTGGTAAAATCTTTTCAATCTATATGTAATTGGTAGGTACCACATCCTTGGTACGGTACCCTATTACGTCCTCATCCTTGTGGATTGAATCGTGGTTTTTTTGCAGAATCGACATTCTTATAACTTTTCATCATCTCTCCCCGGTAAATCATGCAATTGTCGAGGCAAACGTCTATCATCGCTGAAAGCAACCCAAAACTATAAACCAATTTCTGAATCTCATAATAAGAATCAGCAGACACATTGTCTTCCGGCAAATACTCTTTAAACAAGTCTGCCCATGCATCTCTACAATTTTCAGATAGATTGTGATCGTTTTAATATTCATCATTCTAGCAGCCAACGACAGTTTAGAGACTTTCTCTCTAACCACTGTAAATTGGCTGATTCGCAGCATCTAACATTTCATAAAACCTTTTTGCATCTAACATTTCATAAAACCTTTTTGCATCTATGTTAGGTTTTTTAACTTCATCATGAGCTACAAATGCACACCGACGATATCATGAACCCTATCATAATCTACCATATGTTCCTCATTAGGCCTGTGACTTTGGTTTCCCAAAACCGAACCGAACCGAACTGTCGGTTTTCGGTTAACCAAAATTTTAAAAAAAAATTCCGAAATAAACCGAATGAAATTTCGGTTCGATTCGGTTATCGGTTTATTTCAGTTTTCAATTTTATTTCCGAAATAACCGAATTTTTAAGTTTTCGGTTAACTTTGGTATAATTTTTCCAAAATATTTGGATATTTTCGGTTATTTCGGTTAAATTCGGTTATTTTCGGGTGATTCGGTTATTTTCGGTTCGGTGTTTCGGTTATTTTTGGATATTTTCAGATATTTTTTGTTATTTTTGGTTTTTAACTTTTTTTAATTTCTTTTTTGAAAATCGAAAACCGAACCGAACCGAAAACCGAAAAAAACCGGTTTGGTCCGGTTCGGCCCATTCGGTTCGGACAAAAATCCCAGGCCTATTCCTCATGATGCTAACAATTTTCATTATGCAAATGATCAACCGGTTCAGCCTGAAAATTCCTATTACTACTTCTAGCTTCATTCCCACAACTATAACTTTCTCCATGTTGAAACCAAATATAATAATGTGGCATGAAACCTCTATTTACTAAATGTTTCCAAATATTTTCACGAGAGCCTAATTTTGAATTGTTGCATTTCTGACAATGACATAACATCTTACTATTTTCATGTGTGGGCGGTGTAGAATCTGATTGATTCATAAATGTCTCCAGCCCTTCGAGAAATTCTTTCGTCACTCAGATGTTACCATCTCTATGTGTATACATCCACCTCTGACTCTCGAAAATATTTCCATCATCGGATATTTTTTCACGTTTTCAAATTTTTCTCTCTTTTACGTTTTTAGTTTTTTGGTGTGTTTAATTTGAAACCCAATGACATATTTATAGAAAATTTTTAAGTTGGAAGGTGACATTGTACCACGAATTTATGAGGAAAATTAGTACACTACAAACACGTTTACAACTAAAAAGTAGTTAGACTCGTTATTTCTTTTGCTAAAGGGTTTCCTCGTAAAATACACGCAACATAACGAGTACTTTACAAGGAAACATAGTCTGCCACGTATATTTCTCGCTAAATAAAGTTTTTTATAAGGAAATCTGTTTCTCGTTTATTCCCGACGAATCTATGAGAATTCGTATTTCCCTCGTAAAAAACACATAATTTTATAAGGAGCTATTTTTCTCGTTAAATTTCATAACTAAAAATTATTTTTTTCTAGTGTTAATCCTAAATCCTAAACCAAATCCAAAACTTTTAAATCTAAACCATAAATTTTTAATCCCAAACTATAAACCAAATTCTAAACTCTAAGTTCTCGTATAAATCATAAGCTATAAAGTTTAGGATTTACCCAAAGATTTATAACTTTTTTTTTGAATTAAAAAATTTAAAGTTTAGTCAAAAGTTCAAAGTTTAGTTTTTAAGATCTATAGTTTAGTACTATTCTGCTGCATAACAATATTAAAAAATCTTTTGTTAATAATTACTACTATTTTTATTATTTTAAAAATATAAATATATTTTATAAAAGTTTTATTATTTTGTTTCAATCTAAAATATAAAATAACTAAATATTATTGGTTCCGTTGCCTTGGAAACTTCAAATTGCTAATCCGATCCAACAATAATCAAACTGGTCATAAAAAAACCATCAACGAACCGGAACCGATTTACCAATTAACCAAACCGTACCAAACTTACCAAGGATAAATACGCATCTTCTTTTCTCCTTTACTACTTCTCTCTCACTTTCCATCGCCGACTCCAAGACTCCGCCGAACATGACCGTCGAATCAACCACCGTCGCACACGGTAACAACGTCGTTCCGAACGGAGACGCTTCCAACGGTAACATTATCCCTTCCTCGAAGAAATCCCGTGAGAGCGACCGTCGCCGCCGCAGGCGGAAGCAGAAGAAGAACAACAAAGCATCCCGCGGTGCCGATGTAGAGGAAGCGGACGTTACTGATGCTTCTGATGCCAAGGAGAACGCAGATCCGCAGCCACAAGTAAGCTTCGTATTATCTTTCTCGAGATTGGAGGTCTTCTAGGGTTTGTCAATTTTTTTTTGCTGATATATGTTTTCCTCATAAATATCTGAGCAGATTGAGATTGAGTATGTTCCAGAGCAGCCTGAGTTCGATGATGGCTTTAGCGATGAGTTTAAGCAAATCTTTGAGAAGTTTAACTTCAGGGAATCTGTTACCTCTGAGGTAAGACTCTTTTTCTTTTGGCTTCTTTAGTTTGACTGGTAAAGATCATCAGTGCTAAGATTTTAACGAAGCGTGTTTGTTTTACTAGGACGATGCTAAGAAGGATGAATCTGAGGAGAATAAAGATGTGAAAAAGAAGGTTAACTCAGATTCAGAGGACGAGGATGATCAGAGCAATGAACAAAAAGAAAAGGGCATCTCTAATAAGCAAAAGAAGGTTTTAATCTCAAAACTAATTATTATCTCTTAATATGGTTTCCTTGGATTCGCAAAGATATACATCCTTTAGCTTGATAGGCTACATGTTCTTTTTAAGATTCCTAACATCCTGAATTTTTTTGTTTACTCAGCTTGAACGAAGGATGAAGATTGCTGAGCTGAAGCAGGTGTCCGCTAGGCCTGATGTTGTTGAGGTAAGGATGCATTTATATTTTTCTATGAGTACGGGTTTTTAAAGCTTTTTCCGATGTTTTCTTGTCTCTATTGTTGGTACCCGCTTGTTATCCTTTAGCACGCATTATAAACCTCTAGTGTCTTCGTCTTTCATTCTTAGTAACATCTCACTTTTGCTTTATTTACTGTTCTCATCATTGAAATATATGTTAAGACAGTTGATAGGATGCGTGTATCAGTAGTTTTTTTGTGTATACCGTAATTGATTTACATTCTATAAACTTGTATTAACGTTGTGCGCCTGTTACATTTTTGTTATGATTATCCTCTTACAGCTTAGAGTTTATTGATTTCTTATAGCTTACATATTATGGTCACAGTTGCATGGCATCCTGTATCTTTCTTAGGCAAAATCATGTTCTTTATGTATCCCTCTATAGCATGTTTTTGATGCTTATTTATTTCTAACTTATATGTTAATGATTTCAGGTCTGGGACGCTACGTCAGCAGACCCAAAGCTGTTGGTGTTTTTGAAGTCGTATCGGAATACAGTTCCTGTTCCAAGACACTGGTCTCAGAAGCGAAAGTATTTGCAGGTTTGTGATATTTCTAGTAAATGTTCTGTAGCTAGTTATATGTTTCTGTGATTTGTGGGTGTGGCACATAGGGGAATTGTATGAACAGGGATAGCACTCATCATGCAAATTAAGTTTCCTTATACATATATATGTGCCTCTTGCAGGAGAACGTCTGTGATATGTGATAACCATGGAGCCTGGACTTGTAGGTGTAACTGAAGAGGACTCTTGATTTTTTTTCCTATGCATGAAATATTTGGTGATTATGTTTTGTAGACGTTTGATAATTCTCTGGGACAGCCTTTTATTTTTTAGTTGGGTGGGATTTTTCTTCTGTTTTCGTATGCATTTTAGTGGCCTTCCTGTTAGATGCATCTGGTTTTGTAGTACTATTAGGATTCAGTCATGTTTCCTTGCGTCGAAGGTTATTATTGTATTGCTTGCTCTCTCTTTCTTAAGTTGGTGGCGACTAAATGTGGCTTCAATTTTGCAGGGAAAACGTGGTATAGAGAAGGCGCCATTTCATCTTCCTGATTTCATTGCTGCAACCGGAATTCAGAAAATCAGACAGGTAACTTGTCACCTCATGATTTTACTCTTTTATTGATCTGCATTATAAAGAACTTAAAACATGTTCCATTTATTAAAATGATTATGAAACGTAAGCTTTTGTCTAGGCAGTGGCTTTAATTTTTTACCACTCCACTAGATTTCTGAATGCAAATGGTCATTTCTTCTGTGCTTCTACTAGTTATAGCTAATTTTTATTCGTTTTTGTGCAGGCTTACATTGAGAAAGAAGACGGTAAAAAATTGAAGCAGAAGCAACGGGAGCGAATGCAACCAAAGATGGGAAAGATGGACATTGACTACCAGGTTTCCCTCTATAACTACTTGTGTTTAGTATGCTAATGTTGATATATGTTCTATAACTGATGTGAGATATGCTTTCGTATCTCAGGTGCTCCATGATGCATTCTTCAAATACCAAACAAAGCCTAAGCTGTCAGCTCTTGGGGATTTATATTTTGAAGGGAAAGAATTTGAGGTACTTCCTTGTGATACGTTTTGCCTCTATTATGAGTTATTACCTTGCTTGGTTTTATTGCGTTTTGTACCTGAATCTAATTGCAATCATTTGGGAAATAGGTAAAACTGAGGGAAATGAAACCAGGGACATTGTCACATGGCTTAAAAGAAGCTCTTGGTATGGCTGAAGGCGCTCCTCCCCCATGGCTAATTAATATGCAGGTAAGTTTTGTTGTGAGTTACCTTTTTGATTATTATGATTGAAATGTAACTAATTTTTCACTGAAACCTCCTTCTCCAACAGAGATATGGACCTCCCCCTTCTTACCCACATCTTAAAATTCCTGGTCTTAACGCTCCTATTCCACAAGGAGCTAGTTTTGGTTATCATGCCGGTGGCTGGGGAAAACCTCCAGTTGATGAGGTAACTATTTATTTATCTGTATCCTTCTTTTAATTTATTTTTTCATGAGATTCAGTAACACATTTATGTTACTGCCCATGGTTTGTGTTATGTAGTTTGGGCGTCCATTGTATGGAGATGTTTTTGGCATTCAACAGCAAGATCAGCCCAACTATGAGGTAGTTTCTTCACATCTCTCTGTTCTGCTTAAAAACTCTGTATTTATACGTGGAAAGAAGCCAACATAAGTGGGGATAATATATGCTTCTTGTTGAACTATTTCAAGATCTTCACATTTTGTGGTACTCATTGGTGGGTTTTTCTTTTATCGTGATATTAGGATGAGCCTATTGATAAGAGCAAGCACTGGGGTGATTTGGAGGAGGAAGAAGAAGAAGAGGAGGAGGAGGAAGAAGAGGAACAAGAAGAGGAGATGGATGAAGAGGAACTTGAAGACGGCATGGAATCGGTTGATACAATGTCAAGGTATTGTTTTACCTTAAACGATGAGGTGTATTTGTGTTTTGTTTGCGTATCTTATTGCACAAGCAAGAAACTGAATGATTTTTTTACTCCTTTTTCAGTACCCCAACTGGCATAGAGACACCGGATGCAATTGAACTTCGTAAGGAGCAGAGAAAGGAACCCGATAGGGCTCTATATCAGGTAGGACGCCTGCTTTTGATTCGATAGGTTCACCTTATCTACCCACCTCTCGTGGGATATGGGATATTCTCGTAGTTTGATGTCAAGGATCGTTTCACATTTAACTCTTTTTGGGTGGTTCTCTAATGCTTTTTTTAATTTATTTATTTGTGAAGGTACTTGAAGAAAAGGGAGAGAGTGTTGCTCCTGGAACTTTGCTGGCACCCACACACACATACGTCATTAAAACTGGTACTCAAGACAAGATGGGAGCGAAAAGGGTAAGCAATGTTCTTTTGAGGTTGTTTGGTCAATAGGTCGTGTGAGCTTTATGACAAAGGTACTAATTTATACAATGTTGTGTCTATTATGATGACCAGGTTGATTTGCTGAAAGGACAAAAGACAGATCGTGTGGACGTCAGCTTACAGCCAGAAGAGCTAGACGCCCTGGAGAATGTCTTGCCTGCCAAGTAAGTAGTAGTATTGATTGTAATCTCGACATATGATATGACTTCATAAGATGAAGAATAGTGTTCTAAGCTTTACATTGTGTGATTTTGGAAGGTACGAGGAAGCAAGAGAAGAGGAGAAACTACGCAATAAGCCAGAGGACTTCAGTGACATGGTCGCCGAGGTAATTAGATGACTTCTATATATATTTTACTATAATATATGAATGCGGATGATTAACCTTTTCTTTTGTTCTGTGTATACAACTTTGGTGGAATGGTTACAGAATTCGAAGAAAAGGAAGCGTGATAAGGAAGGCAAGAAAAAGAAGGATTTCAAGTTTTGAGGAAGCTTCTTATTCATGGAAAGATCACCATGAACTCTGGATTCTAGATATGAGAGAGATTCATTTTCCTTTTGGAGTCTGTTTGGCTTTACGTAACGTTGAGAGAGGAGATGCAGTAGAAAATCTTTAGTTTAAAACCCTAAATGCTGTGGATTCTAGACATGTACTGTGTTTTCTGAAGTTAAAAAAAAAACTTGTTTAAACAAATTCAAAGCCAAAACCTGAAAGAACTTGCATAACTAAAACTGAAAGAACTTGCATAACTAAAACTGAAAGAGATTAAAAGTAGAGAATGTTCATTGATCCTACGACATTTTTGTTTTCTTTTGACATTAGGATGCTACAATGAACCTTAAAGTCAACACTGGTTACTTCTTTGGAAGCTTAACAATGGTGTTCATGATGTTACAATTCCTGCCTCTGTTCAGGGAAAAATCATATGATCAAAACCCTTAACAAACAAATTCGAAACTATTTGAACAATAGCTGACTTAAACTGATTAAGTGGATTGAAGAGAGCCATCTGATGCTCATAGTTTTGTTGTAGTGGAAGTCGTTGCGGATCTTCAAAGTATCTAATCATTATCATAATACTAAAAGACCAAATAACAAAAGAATCTCATAATCTCTCGTACAGCACACACAAATTGAGAAAACATATTATGATTTGCTCATTTATTCATCACAACCATATATTATGCATATGAAAACTATTACATCCGAATCCAGACAAAAGGATACTTATGATCATCAACTATTAAGCTAATACAACATAGCAACATACATATAATCATTGTAATGACTATATATATATTATAAGAGATGTGATCTTTCTTATTTTAACAATAAGCAATACACTTCTTCTTACAGTCCATGGTACATCCACCACCTCCTCCTCCACCGCCGTATCCTTTCCCTGAGCGACTAAAAGATTTGAAACACTTAGCTGGACACCTCAGCTTCTTACCGTTACAAGGACCTTTCACCTTACAAGTCACCGTTGGTCTCACCACACCTCCCTTTCCAAAACCACCGCTCGGACCACCGTACCCTCCGCCATATCCACCGCCGACTCCGGTCCCCGGGAACCCATTTCCGAATCCGGGTATTCCGGCAAATCCAGGTACACCTCCGAATCCTGAACCATCGTTGCCGCTCTTGTGGCGAGCTGAGTGAGTTGCAGAGACGAAGATGATGAGGAGAAGGGAAGCTAAAAGGATTGGTTTTGTAAACATGTTTTTTCTTGGTTAAGTGGGTTTGTTGAGAAAGTTGGATTGGATATAAATAGAGAGGAGAGCATTAAATTGGTGGAAGATATGAAATACAGTTAAGGCATTGCTTCGTGGACTTTAGCGTGTGAAGATCACTTTAAATGCCCGCACTTCGCAAGAAAGTCGCTTGTGTCTGTCTCTGTCTGTCCATTACTTCCGTAACTTGTAGAGGGAGTGTACAAATATATCTGCACCACTTGCTAACATTTAATTTAAGCATGTGGTTTAACTAAAACAGATCGTTTAAACTAAGTTTAAATCCTGGAGGGTTTTTTGACAGATGTTTTCACGATAAATCTACCAAAAGTTGGGGGGAACTAAATTCAATTTTAGTCTAATAAAAGTTGGGTCATATTCACTTTTTAGTTTTTAGATTCCATCTTTTAATATTAGTTTAATAATAAAATTTAAGATAGGATACACATGGCAAAAATTAGAAATTTTCATACACGTAAGCTAAAAAGAGAATTAGAACTTGAGTCTGGAAACTAAAGAAGAACTAGAGATTAATAAAGAGAGAATGTTTGTAAAATTTAAATGAGTGATTTAGCTCAAAATACCAAAAGAAGTAGATATTTAGGGATTTGCCATATTTTATGGGGAAAAAGTAGTGATGGGGGAAGGAAAGAGAAGAGATAAATAGGGTATGGAGCTAAATAAGGTGTTTTGTGTGTGTATGGAGTGCAAATACTCAATTTAAATTTAGGCGGATGTACTTGAATAAAAAAAAATTTCAGATGTTTACAAGAGACAGTTAGACAAAATGAGGAAGCACACTAAGATCATCTCCGAAAATAATTTCCTTTTAAGCTTAAAAAATGTTATGTTTAAAGTTTGAAGGTGTTTCTCTCCAATATAAAACTTTAAATCTTAAAAATGTATTTTTTCTAAATAAAATAAAAACATTCTTATAATATAGAAGATATCTATCATGTGATAGTTTTCGATATTAATGGAAGTTGATTAAAACAACTTTTATAAATAATAAAACATATATTAAAATAATATTAGTTACAATATGTATTAATAAAATAATATATTATACTAAATGATAACTCTAAATTAAATCAGCAATTACAAATAACATATCAAATTAATCTAGCTTGTAATACTCTTATTTGTGATCAGCTAATGAAATTCAAAATGATATATTAATTTATTTATCAGTTATGAACCAAATCAGTATGTTAGATATAAAAGTTACAAAAACTTATTTGTAAGGCAAATAATTATAACGACTTAAAAATATGAAATCTCAAATATAAGTTTTGAACCATACAACTTCAAACATAAGATTTCACTATTCAAATCATTAAAATTTAAAGTTAAAAGTTAACTGTACAATACAAATAACCTCATATTTGAGGTTTTAAGATTGATTTTAGAAATGCTCTAAAACCAACTCCAATGTAACATTAAAGTATTAAATTTGGTATAGTTTCATGTTATTTAGGAATATGGTTAAATTAGTATTATTAATTAAGTAAATTTTGTAATTAAATAAACAGATAATCTATTATGTATTTTCATATTTAATCGTATGCAATTTTAATTTCAATTGATAGTTTACATAAAATGAATATATATATATAATATAGTTAAATTTTTATTTAAAAACTTACAATTACAAAACTTTAACAATCATAAAATCTAATGTGATAAAATAATTAGTTACCAATTTAATTAAAATATTAAAATTATTGAAATTAAAAATTAGGTGTCATAATTGATGTTATGGTTATAGATGAAAAACAAAAATATGACAGTAAAATATTAAATTTGTAATTTTTCAATATTAAATTTGGTGTTATAACTGGAGTTGGCTAAAAACAATATAATCAGAAGCATCCGACAAATTTGAAAACCAAAATATAAATAGAGAAATTCATCTACTAAGATATACAACATAAAGAAATATATTTGACTAAAGACTAACATTTTTAGTTAGAAACCAAAAACAAATCAAAATTCTTTGAGATGATTCACCGTTGTCGACAAAGAAAAAATAAAACATAGCTCCCAAAGTTAATGATAATTTTACCAAAGAAATTATTTTTGTTAGCAATCATTTTTCTAATTTCAAATCTTGGATGGGTTTTTGACCGTTGTTTTCACTATAGCCTAAAATTTTACTTAAAGTTGGGTGAAATTAAATTCAATTTTAGTCTACTGAAAGTTTGGTGATATTCAGTTTAAAAGAGGTTTTCTTTTACTATAATTTTAGTAATGATTATTTCACCAAAGACAAAAAAACCTTGTGGTATTTATAATAGTAATTTGTTCCATTTCCATAAGGCCCACTCATTAATTCACTCATTAATTCAGTACAACCATATCATTTTAGTCTTAATCAAACATCTGTGCAGGTCTAACTATTAAAGAAATATTTTGTCCAAGGTTACAGTAAACTTTGAAAATTTTAGGGTTGATTAATTTGATTCCACATTAAATTGGTTTTGTTGACAATTTGGTTCACCGTACAGCTTTTCTTGTCTCTCTGTAGAGGACATAGGCCTAAGAGGACCCATCAATATATTTATAGCTGAGCTGTGCTCTATAAAAGAGTAAATGAGCAGGTGAACAAAGTATTTGAAAGAATGGTAATCCAATGATTATTGAAGATGACATTTGTTTCGTTTATCCTTTTAAACATTATGACAAGTTTTGTCATTAAACCGATTGACATTTGGGCAAAAAATAAACACGGTTTAAGCTTAGTCTCCTCACCGGACACGGCTGAATGTTTTGAGCGGTCCTTGCTGCACAGACCACGGAAGTCGTTTGTTGTCTTCCTGAAATTTTACATTAAGAAAAATAAAGATTACTTTAAATGTATAAGACTCTTTCAAAGAATTGTCAGTTCAACAATTAGTAGGACTCGAGCAGACACAATTGGATATTTGGCGACATGATGGAAACACACAAAAAAGTATCGGTATAAGGTTCTTTCGAGATCAACCGTATACAGCTTTTAGCTTTATCAATAAGTGATGAAACCAAAAACAAAACCATATAAACATGCAAGAGGAACTTAAAGACATACTCTGATGTCTGAGACAGATTTGCAGGAGGAACATCTGACAGAGGGAGCTCCATAAGGATACATCAGGAGCAGTTCGCAATTGCTACACTTTACCTGACCAACCTGGTGAGCTGTATACAAACAATGACAGATTATAAACCAACAAGAGAAGTCTATTTTCATCAATTACTGAGATCTTATTGAAATAACAATGGAGTAGTAGTGTAGTGATCATACATTTACTCTCAAGAGTAGTAAGACTAACCAATAAAGATACCGAAAAATCTCTAATAAGCCTAAGAGGAAAAGCCAAGCCAAATATCATTTTGAATGAATCTACAAGCCAAGCTAGGAACTTTACATAGAGATAAGGGACTTGAGCTGCAAGAACATAGTGATATCCCTTACAGATTACTTATTGATCAGTATTCAAGTCACTTAGAGAGATTATCAACAACACATGCGTTTTGTACAGTTAATGAATTAAAGAGACAAAGGAAGAACCTTCAAGAACGAGATTAACTGTCAGACAGCAGGAACACTTGACATGTTTGGTTCCACGTGGATACGAAAGTAAACGCCTGCAAGATCCACACACCATTTGCGCCTTCTCTACAACCACCACCACCCAAAAAGCAGAGATCTTTAATCAAGATTGGTTCCCTCTTAACGCTGACTATTTAAAAAAAAAAAAATACCGGGAATTTCGGCGGTGGTGGCGGTAGTGGAGTTTACGGCGGTGGTGACGGCGGGGGTCGGTGGAGGAGGAAGAACAGTAGATTCCCATCCCGGAGGAGGGCCTTCCTCGTCTTCTTCTTCTTCTTCTACCTTCTTCTGTGTTTGCATCTCTTCCATAACGCCTCTGGTCTCGGCTTCGGCGATCATCACTCTCTTACAGAAAATGTGAACTCACAGTCACAATTGATGATGATTAAACAAACCGGAATATGACATTGGTTCCGGTACACTAAAACCGGACGCCAGATCTATTCCTCTTTGGTTTTCGGTTAGATTTAAACCCGACCAGAAATTCGAAATAGACCTGAAAAGCAGAATTGAGCAAGAAAACTAGGCCTGGGTATTCGGGTCCTCGGATCAGGTTGGGGTCGGGTCATTTCGGATCCGGATCCTTCAGGTCTTAGATATTTAGACTCATTAGGGTAATTAGACTTTGTCGGTTCAGGTTCGGGTCCTACCGGGTCCAGGTCGGTTCAGATCTTATATAGTTGGACCCAATAGGATAATTAGAATCTATCGGTTCAGATTCGATTCGGTTTCGGGTCAGGTTCGGTTCGGATCCTGTCGGGTATGATCCAAAAAAATACCTAAAACACACAAAGAATACCAGAAAATATTTAAATACCAAAAAATACCCGAAATTTATCCAAAATCTGACCCGAAGACATTAAAAAATCCAAAAGAAACGAAAATGAAGAATATAGCTATACCCATTTTGACGTGGCAATTAGCGACGATTCTGGACGATTTTATCCTTTCACTCGCATGCGCGTCATTAAGAGGCGAGTAAACCATAAAACGTTCGGTACAACGAAAAACTGATACGAACGAAAATCTATTGTATTATGGATTGTTAAGCGGATTCCAATTACGGAAATGGAAGGAGGGGGTTAGGACGCAAATATTTTTTGGTACCTATAGCTTTGATAGAAGATGGAGACACGCGAACAACTACATAAAGTGCAATATTGTAGTTCCATTGAGACGGAACAGTACATCATGTACTTAATAGGTTGAAAATCCAAAATGACTATACTATCAAATTAAGAACATAGTATAGTTTATGAAAGTGTGAATGGTACAACACTTTAGCAACCAATGAAAATGTTTGGAAATGGTCTGACGCTACTGGATATGCATGTCTTAGACAAGCACAAGCGGAATGTATGCAAAATGTTTGAATAGTATAGGGAATACAGTACCAGACAACAACACCATCAAAAATAACAGCCGAAAAGGTAGACAATATTGATGCAACAGTACAACATGTATTAAATAGGTGGAAAAATCAAACTGACTATACTAGCGGGTTCAGTATATAGTATAGTTTACCACAGTGCGAATGGTACATCACTTTAGCAAGCAATGAAAATGTTTGCAATGAAACATAGCATACAATAGCGTATACTACCGAATATGTTTAATAGTGTAGGGCACACAAAACCAGACAAGTGCTCCATCGAGAATAACATAAAAAAAGATAGACAATGGTAACACTCGAAGACCAACATAAAGCTAAATAGAAAGATCTGGTGAGACACAACATTACAACATGTACTCAATAGGTGGGAATCCAAACCAACTATACTATCGGTATAATATATGTGATGTAGTATAGCTTATATAGTATAGAAAATGAGACATAATAGGAAAAATATAAGTTTGCCAAGGCATAACATAAAGTTAAAGCAGATCTGTCCATATGTAAGTACAAATAAGACTATTGCATAGAGGTGAAAGTATATTAAAAATATAACACCACATAACACACGTCTACGGCATTCCCTCTGTAGAGAAATTACTGAGGCATGTGGAGTGGGGAAATGAAAAGGTTGTTGGTTGTTTGTGAATGAAACCGAGTGGGGTAGGGGAATGAAAAGGTTGTTGGTTATTTGTGAATGAAATCAAGAATACAATATGGTGAACATACTGTAAGTGACTGTAGTATACAATCACCACTATCATGTATAAATAGGTTACAGACTATACTATTGTATATATTGGATAGTATAGAACACACATTAACACAAAAGACCACCATTGCGATTAACATCCGAAAGGGGTAGAGTATGTTGACATGCGTGTGTGTGAATATGAGAAGAGTGACACATTTCGAAAGTGAAATTACATACTATAATATTGTATAAAAGCGCTAGTATAGAAAACATAGCAACCCACCTCACAGATCACCTACAAAATTACATTTCGTTTACAAAAAAAAAACGGATCAGGCATGGTCCATCAGGCATGAAAATATGTTGGATGTTGGTAGGTGAAACATAAAATAAAAATTGTCAACGTAAATAACTCCAAATTCGTGATGTTTACACTGTAAGCTAAACCTAAAACCTAAACTCTAAACCGGAAACCGAAATCTAAACCCTAAACCCAAACCATAAACCTTAAACCCAAACCATAAACCCTAAACCCAAACCGTTAACCCTAAACCCAAATCGAAAAAGACGATATCAATATTAACGCCGTTAGGTAAACTTTAAACTCTAAATCCTAAACGTAAACAATAAACCTAAATCTAAACCTAACCTCTAATCCTATACCTTAAACCCAAAGCATTAAGAAACGACACTAACATCGTCATCTAAACCCTAATGTCGATGTACAAGTTTAGTTTTATGGACTAGAATTTAGGATTTGAATTTAGTGTATATGGGTTGGATTTATGGTTTAAAGATTCACTATAGGGATGCAACTAAGTATTGTTCAAATAAAATTAAGTCTACCTCCAAGTGACATACTAGACTATATAATAAATTATATAGTCTGGTACATGGGTTGCTATGTGAACTGAAACTTGAGAGAGGGAGGGAGGGAGGGATGGAGGGAGGGAGGGAATGAGAGAGAAAAAGAGAATGAGTGGGGTAGAGGGTGGGAGAGAGAGAGGGAGGGAACAAAGTAGTAAACTACTTACAAGATTGGACTTTTCACTACTTGACTATACTACACATTATTACAATATAATATAGAATACTGAGACAAATAAATAAGTTTTTCATTTTTATGAATGATCACAGTGCTTAACTAAATGAGGTTTAAGAGTTAGTGCAATATCTTAGAAAGGTTAATTTACATATCAATCATACTATAAGCCAAGTTTAGTTTTATCCCAATATTACATCCACAAAATAAAGTTTACATGAAAAGAAATAGGAGATTAAAAGTATGCATGGAATTTTTTTTAAATACCAAAGTTAATACAAACGAATGTATGATGAAAACAGTTGAGACAAAATATCTTACTGCATGCATAAATAGTCCATATTGAATATGGGAAACGTTTCAAATGCATGTCTTTGCTATGATGGCAAATGAGGATTCTGTGAGGGCATCAGACCAATTAAATTGTTATGTCGCATTTAGTTAGAAGATCAACCGTTGCAACACATGCTAATCCTGAAAACACCCACAATAGAAATCAATCTTTAAGGCGAAGTCTCCAATTCCGTAATAGATTTGTTTTCCTGCAAACACATAAGATAGCTCATACTTCTTACGTGTAACCAACTGGGATCACAGCAGATGGGGGATAAACATGACTTAAAATGTATGCGTCCCCATTAGCATAATATGCCTGAATTTCGAGTTCGCCAACTGAACATCTGGAAAGGTTGATTTTATCACCTCTATCCAGCACTAATTCAAGTAATTGTTTATTTTGTTACATGCGCATAAATACGTTCGACTGACACAATACAAAACATAGAAGAGTACGGCACTAATCAAAACATAATAAACACAATTGTCTTACTAACTGCACTAATCAACCTAAGCACAATGAAAATACTCAATCCATGGAACACAATACGGGTCATGACCATATTACATTCTCTCATTATCAAGGTCCTAGTCCACAAAAGCAAAATTTAAAATACAACATGTAACTATACTATTTACGTTTCTCTTATAGTATAGAATAAATCACTTTCTCCTCCAACCAAGAGCCCATAAATTTTTTTAAGAAAACAGACGAAACAAACATAGACACATACATGGTCATGTCGCGAATTCATAACTAAAATAGAAAAAAAATTCTAGGTTAATTTACAAAACTAAAATTTAACTAAAAGTTTTTGTCACATTACCTTTTCCGTTGTCCCCGATAACCTCCTACCATTCAGATCTGTAAAATAGACAGCGATTCTGATTTAATAATCCAAAAAACAAATGGATGTGGTTCCAAAACTTATGCTATGTCTTCTATCCAATAAAAGCATTTTGCAATTACCTTGATTCATGTGCTTGTGCTTTACAATTGCTCGTATTTCCTAGAAAATGAAAGTTCTTCTGTAAATCCGATGCATAATCATAAAAAAAAGAGTTTCAGGTTCCAGGTTAAAAATAAGGGAAATTGGGCTGAGTAGCTACAAAACAAAACATAATGCAATATCTAACCAAAAAAAGGTACCTCCATCATTTGTGTAATATATACTATAATACTCCTATTATCCAGTTAATGAAATATTAAAATATTTTCTTCTTCTTCGAGTACCGACGACCACAATTACTAACTACCACCGACCTTCTTCGTTCTCCACCATACATTATCTCCGCTTCATCATCGTTCTTACCACACTACTTCTCAGCTTATGAAATTTAAATATCACGGTGGCGTTACGATCGTGGCATCTTCGATTCTCTTTTTAACAACATCGATTCTTGACATATCAGTTGAAATAATATATCATATTATGTACTATTTGCATATTTTGATATTTGAATTATGGTTTATATTTACCCTTTAGGGTTTAGTAATTAATATTTTGGGTTTAGTTTATGAAAGATTTGGGTTGATATTGGAGTCATAATTACTTCTTCCTACTATTTATTAATATATAACATACACAATATAGTATATTTAAACAATTTAATATGAACTATACCATTTACCATGTTCTATTCTATTTCTATTTGTATTTCATTTCTATGTTTACATATTATGACATGTTTATAATTTTATTTTCATGTTATTTACTATCTAGAAGATACATATGAACATTGAAAACAATTGTAGATATCGAGCATGTAAACACATTATACTTTTATAATCTGCTATTTCATAATTTCATTGTATGTGTACTATTCTATTTAGTTTATTTCATACCATTTAGTTTGTTTCATACCATTCAATATATTCCATACCATATGTAGTCTATGTAACAAAAGACCATCAGTTCGTCTCCGTCTCCATCTACCACATTTTTTACCTTTTTAACCACGACAAACACCACCATCACACAGCCGCAGTATTTACTGATACAAAAAACCATTGATTCTTCCATATCTATGACGTCACTTCTTCTTCCTCTGTAACTACTACCATAGTCGTCACCACCGTAATCACCATCATCGTCGATATGAAATAACCATCACCACATTTTTTTATTTTATAATCCATTTAAGTGACATATGATCTTTATGTGTTATCACCGTCTACCGTCTTAGAAAATGGAGAAAACCAAGAGAAAGAGAGCAAAATGATAGAAGATCTAATTATGTCAACATCAGTGCCATATTCTTAATTTTACTCTCAAAATTAGCTATTACACAAATAAATCCTAAAAATAACAGGCAATTTTCAACTTTTTACTCGCAGGACTAGGGTATTCTGGAAATATTTCATAAAGTTATACAAAATATTGTAGCCTTTAAGTTGTTATGGTTATATGTTTAATTGTTTTTGTTAGTATGTACATATCATCTAATTCCCCTTTATTTATATCAAGGAAAATAAATTCCAAGAGACTCTTCTTGTTGTTCTCTTATCATACCGACATTAATTAAGTTTATACACATTAACATTATTTTCAAAAGCACAATTATACTATTAAAACACATATATTAAAAAAATTATTTAGAAAAAGTCATAGTTTGACCCTTACATTTATTTAATTTAGTTATTATCAAAATATACACCATAGCTTAATATATTATTTGAATATTTTTCATAATAAGATAACTTACAAGATATTCTTAAATATCATCTTTCTAAGATTGCATTTTGATAATATGATCAGGATTTTCTTTGTAGTCAACGTGACTTATAGTTCATATCAAACTGAAAAGTGAAAACTATTAACATTTTGCGAACTTAATAAAAAAATTTAATCATATAAATATAATGATATTGTAATCAAATTTATGAAAAATTAAATCTAAATATAAATGAAAAAGCTCCGTTCTAAAAAAAATTATGGTTTCAATATAAGATTGGACATCATAATACAAATAGAAATACTAATTGTAAACAGAACTTACCAGCTTAAGGTGGATCACATGTATTAGTGCTTTGGTAATGTGATGAGCCTCCAAATAATGTATTCCTAATTCAAAGGACAATCTCAGATTTTATGAATGTTTATATTCTAATTTACCCGATCATATTTATATGATTGGGCAATTCATTAAGAAAAATAAGTATACACGTTATAAAGAATCTATGTATTGCACTTCCTTTTTGTCGATCAACAAACAAAACTATTATTCCAATCCTAAGAAACATGCGACCCGTAGATTTTAATGTCGCAAACTATATACATATACGTATACCTTTGGAGTAGCGTTAGTACGAATATTAATTATTCACATAAAACTGGAATTCGAATAATTTGATAATACAAGGTCAGCCAATCTTTTAGAGTAATTACTAGATTTTAGATTTTGATCCGCGCTTTTTAAGCGCATAACCTTTTTACGATTAAAAATTTATATAATTGAATTTTGTCTTAAATTAAAGAATGTTTGATATAAAATCAGTTCACCAAAATTTGTGGTGATGATTGTTTTTCATTAGTTTTTAGTTTCAGTTTTTATTTTTAGATTTTGGTTTTTAGTTTTTAAGTTTTCATTTTTGATTTTTAGCTTTTGGTTTGGGTTTTTAATTTTTAGACATGCTGAGTTAGTTTGAACTGATATTACCAATAAACAAATTCCAAATAATCGAACATCTAATTTAAAACTGAAGAGATGAAAATTTTTTTAAAAAAAAAATTGCAATAGTTTATTTTCTAAATAAACAAAAGTAAAAATATAACCTGCGTTTTGGTTTTGGATTTTAGTTTTTATTTTTTAGATTTGGTTTTTAGTTTTTAGATTTGGTTTTTGGTTTTTCTTTACATTTTTTTTAATCAGTAAATTATTTAAGAAAAGTAAAACTATAAATTATTAAAAATTACCATTGAAATTTATCAGAACAAAATGATTGTTATTTAAAATAAAAAATGCATTATTATATTTAAAGTACATGATTTAAATAGATGATTAATAATAAACAATTTTGTATTCTTAAAAATTAAATACCTTTTGGGTCTGAAAATAATAATTGATTTTTTTGTTCCATTAAGATGAAAGTTTATTCAATACTTTTTGGAGCTTTTCTTTAATACTAAGCCCAAAAACCCAACGATATAATTTGTTGTAAAAAAAAAAATAAGTCCAAGACTATATCACATAAATAACCACCGATTTAATTTAAGTAATACGATTTAATTAACTATATGACTTGTATTATTTGTAATACTGTGGAAAGAATCCAAATTTAAATGACATCTTTTATTAATAGATTAAAAATGACTTTATTTTAAAAGAGTAGATAGAGTAGATATTCTTCAGTATATTACTGTGGTCAACATTCTATTCGTTTACTTGCTTGAATACATTAAAAAGTCTAAAACGATGCATGAAAAAACTTTATATTTCAATTAAATTAAACCACAAATTTTCCTCTGTATGTTCCTATAATTACCTTCATCGCGAGCAAGTGTTTTGACATCGCAAGATAATTAAGAGAGAACACAAAAAATGATCGATGGATACTGAGAGTCTCTAGATATTTGAGAGGGTCTTGCATGAAAGAACGGAGAACGAGGTTGAACAAAGGATGACTTGCCGATTTTTCCAGCGAATTTATATTGATTTTATGTTCGGCACGTTGACCTTGGCTCTGTTTCCTTCTTACTTTTTGATGTCAGAGTCCAGATACTATCTATCTATATATCACCATCAAAACTTGTTATCAAGGTTTGTAACTTTGCTGAAATATGCAGTTTTCTACGAGTTACTTGATGCATACTAATAGCATTTGCTTCAACTATCTTCTTGTTCTATGTAAATGTGGATACTTTCGTTTACCCTTTAATATAGTTTAAAACTCAGAACAATAGCAGCGTATAACATAACCTTAGCTATCATTACATGATAGTTTAGGTTACTACTTATTCTTAAAGTAAAAATTCAGAACAATAGCAATGCATCACATGGCCTTAATACTACCATTACATGAGAGTCTTACTTTCATGCGGTAGCGAGCTTCGGTTTGGGATAAAAGATTCGGTTTAGAGTCGCTGCCAAGCGAATCCCCCCTTGTGCAATTCTCTTCTCTACAATGGGCAGACGAGAGATGAAGTAGTCATCTGCAGAAAGAAATGTGAGAGAAAATCAGAACATTATTGCATATTAGAAAAGCTAAGATGATCTTGTTTAATAGTGAATCATTTTCCTATTCTCAGAGTCTAAGTATACCTCCTAGGGTAGTCCCTGCGGTAGCATCCTTGTAAGCACACTTGCAGGCAAGATCAATGCTTTCAGAAGCATATCTGACAACACCAAGAACACACAGAATCAACATTAGTGGTAATCTTGAAAAGAAAGAAAGATATGGCAGCTAAAACAAACCTATAATTGCTTTGCTATATAGCCCCTTTTAGAGATAGGGATGCTTACAGATTGGGACAGACTATTTTGTGTAGTGGACATGACACCCACGACGGAACATCATTTGACCAGTCGTACTATGCCGAGACAGCAGTTAAAAGACAAACAACCATTGTGAGTTAAGTTTATCTTGGATCTGCGGAAAGAAAGTAAGATCATACCTTGAGTTTGTGTAGAAGGGAATGAATCATTGACTGAACGGCTTGAATTGTAGTATTTCTCTAGAGCAGAATCAATTATTTTGTTATCCCACACCTTCACAATCAAAGTGACTCTTTTTATATATGATTATGATCAAAATATTACTGTGTTAACACTTTGATGATTGACAAGAAAACACTTACACGGTGCAAATTAGTTTCTTGATCGTACCAATTGAGTTTGATTTTGTTACCACCTTGATCTCCAAAAAAACCTTCATGCAAGGGCTGTGAACAGAAATCAAAATCCACATTAGGGACTAGCCATACTCTGTGTAGTTACTACTTTACACTAATCACAGCTGCAATGTGAATAGAATAGCCTCAATTGCATATAGCGCAGGATTAATTAACCTGATGGATATCTCCCATAAAGTGTGCTACGAACATGAGAGCTTCTGTCAAGTTATCTGCAAACGAAAAAGAAAAAGAGTAGTCACGCTATACTCCATGTAACATATACCACTAAAAGTCCCACTCACAGTGGACAATACTCAGTGAATCTTCAGAAGCTGACATCAGTTGGTTTGTGTAATTGAAGATTGCTCCTGTCACACACCAGTCATTAGGGCAGTCCCCTTCGCATAAAAAGACAAGAAAAATTATTAATATTTTATTGCCAATGTCAAACACAAACATGAACGAATATTTGCAAGAAAAGAAAGCACACGAGAATAGTCATAGTTGCATTTGTAATCAGGTGTGTTAGCAAAATGCAAAGTGTAAGACCAGCTCCACTCAGGGGTGCGTTTGATTTCATCAGCCCATGAGCAAACATTTGCTAGTTCACCATTTGCAAATGCAGGAAGAAGTTTCTTCACTGCAACTAGAGTTTTTTCCTCAAAATAGCTCTACAAGGATTGACAAAACAAAGCATCATCAGAGATCACACATGCAGATGCAAGCTCTCTAAGAGCACTTCCAATGATAGTTTCTTACTATGGAATTCTAAAGTTATATATTGGTCGATGTATATAAGAGTATACTAAAATCTGGGAAACCCAACCAATAATATATTAAATGAGATATTATTGATTGAGTTTCTAAGAATTTTAGTATACTCTTATATACAGACATCAATATATAATTTTTTTTAAAAAATATTTTATTATTATGCTATGCAGAAGCATTTTGTTGAGAGATGGACAAACATCTCCTGGCCTTGTGACCTAGATGACCACATCTTTCACACTTCGGAGGGAGCCAAGAGTATTCAACGTCGACCAAAGAGTAGTTTCCTTGCTTATCCCATGCCACAATTTTCTGTGGGAAAGGCTTATCAAGCTCAACTTCCACCAAAATCTTAGCTTCTCCTAACATAGTAGGGTCTAACCACGGCTTGTGAGACAACATTGGTTCTCCTAAACCTGAAGCAATCCATTCGATAGCAAGGATAGAATAAAGCTGAGCAGGTATGTTTTTAAGTGTGACCCACAATAGGATCGTGGAGATTTCTAGTAGAGATAAGGATTCCGAGGAATTCCAAGCGGCTACAAACACTAAACAGTCGTCCACATGCCACAGACCACGTTCCAGAATCCATTTCCGAGTATTTTCATCAGGTATGTGAAAGATATAGGAGAAATCACCTATCTTCTTGACAAAGATGTTGCATTTTATACCCCAAATCTTATTTAATATAGCATGCACTAACCCACCAGATGGAATTAAACAGCGACTGAACTGACCTACCACATATTATATTCTTTCTGATTTTGCAACCCATTGAGAAGGACATGATTTGGAATAGTTACCTCAGGGGTACCATCTTCCATGTACTTGGCATAGTTACTCAATGAAGGTTCCTGGAATTTGGGTTCAAACGAGCTGTCCAAGGAAAATGTTTCTTGTCTGTTGGATATGATGTAGCAGCTGGTGAAGATGGTGAAAACCTAGCAATCTCATTACGATGACCCTTTTTCTCACAGTCTCAGCTGAAAGAGCAGGCCAATTAACTGGTTCTAAAGGTGGCTCGAACTGATCAATAGATTTTCCTAAACAAGTTAATGGTTTGGCCCATGCTCCTAGAGGAGCAAGTAGTGAACCAGTCATCGAAGCTAAATCTGCCGAGGGTAGAACCGGACCATCTTGAGAACCAACTTGAGACGATGAAGGAGGAGGAATAGTTGATTGAATAGTTTTCGTTTTGTTGACTTCATGAGTGCTCGTACCGAGTTCGGTCGTGTATCAGTAAAGAGAGTGACTGTACTCGTCGGTGGATTATTACGAAGGTGCGAACGAGTATGAGTAAAGAGAAGGAATCATTACGAGTTCGAAAATAACCGTCTTCGTTGGATGGTTATGGACCGTTTGAACGGTGTGCATCGAGTTCGTCTGATCAGGGCGTATTGACAGGTTGAGGCGAGTATTCGTGCGCAGTCCGTCAAATAACTTAGTGAGGGCTCGAGTATCGCGGGAGTCTCGAGTGAGACGAGTTTTACTCGGTAAGTTAGAGTGACTGTTAGGTTTGCTTTACTCAGAGGTTTTATTTTGGGGTTTACAGCTGGACCGGTTAAGGTTTCCTACGTACCTCAGGGAGGATCAAGACGTCCGTAGTTCATTTTGGCCGAGTAGAAGTGACTTTAACAATGCATCTACTCGGCGAGTAAAAGTGGTTTGATAAGCGCATCTACTCGGCGAGTAAAAGTGGCTTGATAAGGGCATTTACTCGGTTTTTATTTTTATTACTTTTTTTAAGGTGATGCATTTACTCGGCATAGTAGCGACGGAGGTGCATGGAATTCCATGCTCGTGGCACTTCCTTCCCGGACGAAGTTTCAAGTCGGTAAACTCCGGGTTTAATGACTTGAACGATTTTATACGGACCTTCCCAGTTGGCTCCGAGTTTGCCGGCGTTCAGTTCCTTTGTGTTTTCAAAGACTTTGCACAAGACGAGGTCACCCAATTCGAGGAGCCGTGAATGGACCTTCTTATTGTAATAGCTCTCTATCTGATGCTGGTAGTTTTGTATTCGGAGCTGGGCATGATCTCGTCTTTCCTCAATTGCATCGATTGCGTCAAGCAGCATCTCTTGATTGAGGTCGTCATGCTGAGGCATCTTGCTGCGGCGTAAGCTAGCAATGTTGACTTCTGCCGGAGCCATTGCTTCGACCCCGTATACCAGCGAGAAGGGAGTGGGTTTAGTCGCTCCTCGAGGCGTTGTTCGGTGCGACCATAGCACTCCGTCTAAATCGTCGGCCTAGCAACCCTTTTTTAGGTCGAGTCTTTTTTTGATGCCATCGATGATCGTCTTACTAGAAGACTCGGCCTGACCGTTGCTTTGCGGGTAACGCATAGTCGAAGTATTTAAGCGGATTCGCCACTTGTCGAAGAATGCGCGGAAGTGCTGGGAAATGAACTGAGAGCCGTTATCGGTCACGATTTCGTAGGGTAAGCCATGGCGACAAATGATGTTCTTCCATACGACCTTCTGAACTTCTTTGTCGGTAATCCTAGCGTAAGCCTCGGCTTCGATCCACTTCGTGAAATAGTCGGTCAAGACTAAGATGAAGCGGCGTTGTCGCGAACTCGGCATAGGGCCGATTATGTCCATCCCCCATTGCATGAAAGGGTACGGAGCAGACATGGTTCAGAGCATCTCAGTAGGCGAATGGATAGTCGGTGCGTGTCGTTGGCACTTGTCACACCGCTGAGCGTAGGACACGCAGTCGGCAGTCATCGATGGCCAGTAAAAGCCGAGGTTCTTTATTTAAAGGGCGAGAGCACGTCCTCCGGAGTGGTTTCCCGCGGTGCCTTCCTATGTCTCGGCAATGATGAGTCTTGTTTCGTCACCATGGACGCACTTGAGCATGACCTTATTTGCAGCGACACGGTGTAGTTTATCGTCGATGACCATGTAGTTCGTGCTTCGTGCCTTTATCCGTTGCGCCTTCCACTTCTCGGTAAGTACAGACTCATCCCGCAGAAAGCTGAGTAGTTCGGTTCGCCAATCGTTACTCGTGTCATCCGGTGCTCCTGTAGGTGCCGCATCGTCAGTGGGTTCGTTCGCAGTAGGCAGTTCTTTCTCTGCGAGTGCAGATGCGCGCGTTCGGACAGCGGCGACCGAGTTCCCGATTGTTGGGTTGATACTCGGCTCTTCGATTCGGTGTATCGGGTTCGTGCGCTTCACTTGGTCGCGTATTTTGCTTCCCTGCGCGGCGAGAGTGTCGGTGCATACGTTCTCTCCTCGGGGTAAGCACTGAGCCATTCATGCGTTCATGCAGTCGTTCTCTCCTCGGGATAAAGTTTTAGCCAAATTGAGATAGGCGTTTATGCGGTCGTTCCGTGTGTCGTACTCGCCACTGAATCGACTCGTAACCAGCTGTGAGTCGGAGTAAGCACTGAGCCGCTTCGTGTTGACGACTTTAGCTAATCGGAGACCGGCCAGGAGGGCTTCGTACTCTGCTTGTTGTTAGACGCTGGGAAACTGAAGCTGGAAGATTGTCAGATTAATTCACCCATTGGGGATTGAAGTTGTACTCCGGCACCTGAACCCTTGTTTATGGCGGAGCCGTCAACATGTAATATCCAGTTTTGTCCCGGGAGTGTGAGTTCCTGAGTGAGCTCCTCTTTGAGGTCGCGAGGTAGCTCGATGATGAAGTCAGCTAAGACTTGAGACTTGGCTGCAGGGTGGCTCTTTAACACTATATCGTGTTCGCTTAACTCGATTGCCCATTTGGACAACCGGCCAGATTGATTTGTATTCTGCATGACCGTTCGAAGAGGGTAATTGGTCAAGACCTCCACCGTATGGGATTGGAAGTATGGCCTGAGCTTCCTTGCGGAAGTGATGACTACCAAGGCCATTTTCTCGAGTGTCGGGTAGCGCATCTTGGGATCAGTCATGCGTTTACTCGTGTAAAAAATTGGCTTTTGCTCGCCGCGATCGTCGTTGATGAGGACGCTGATGACTGCTGTTAGTGAGACGGCTATGTAGAGAGAGAGGATGTCCCCGGGTTCAGGTTTCGACAGTACCGGGGGCGTGGTGAGATACTGCTTTAGCTGCGTAAATGCCTCTTCGCATTTCTCGTTCCATTTGAAACGCTTATTCTCGCACAAGAGTTTGTAGAATGAGAGACATTTATCCGTAGATTGAGAGATGAACCTGTTCAGTGCCGCGATTCGACCGGTAAGGCGTTACACTTCGTGGCTGTTTCTCGAGCTTGGTAGATTGAGGATCGCTGAGATCTGTTTCGGGTTTGCCTTGATCCCTTTGCTGGGTCACAATATATCCGAGAAACTAACCGGAGGTGACACCGAATGTGAATTTAGCCGGGTTCAGCTTCATGCCGTATTTGTTGAGGGTTTTGAAACATGCCTCGAGGTGCTTGGGGTTGTCTCGCCGCGCGGAGAGATTTGACCAGCATATCGTCAATATACACTTCCATTGTTCAGCCAAGCTCGTCCGCGAACATCTTGTTGACGAGGCGCTGGTAAGTCGCTCTGGCGTTCTTGAGCTCGAAAGGCATTACTTGTAACAGTAAGTCCCCCGGTCTGTGATGAATGCGGTTTTTTATCGGTCGTCAGGGTGCATCGTAATTTGATTATATCCCGAGAAAGCATCCATGAACATGAGTAGTTCCTTACCGGCAGTCGATTCGACTACAAGATCGATATGGGGGAGTGGGAAGCTGTTCTTCGGACAAACTTTGTTTAAATCGGTGATATCTACGCAAACCCGCCACTTCCAATTCTTCTTCTTAACAACAACTGGGTTCGCTAACCACTCAGGCGTACCGGACCTCTGTAATCGAGCCGGCTGCGAGTAACCGCTCAACCTCCTCGTTGACCGCTTTTGATCTCTCAAGCTCAAGTTTGTGTCTTTTCTGCCTGATAGGTTTGAAGGTTGAGT